GTGTGTGTGTGTGTGAGAGAGAGAGAGAGAGAGAGAGAGAGAGAGAGAGAGAGAGAGAGAGAGAGAGAATTTGCGGTGCTGTCCAAGTAATGAATCTGACAGTTGATGCTTCGTTTCTTCTTTGGCTTTTGCCTTCCAGGACATGCTCCAAGACGCACGCGGAGGATTACGGCTCACATGACAACACTACCTGGAACGCATGCTTGAATGTTCCGTGGCGAACAGCAAATGTGAAGCAGATGGGATGCTGATCACTTCATTCATACATTACAAGACCTGCTTAAATAAAATGGCACGCTGTCAACTTGGTGCTCGCGATCAGATAGTTGGAAGACAGCAGCAGCGGTGAATTGGATCTCAAGGGCACCGATCTTTCTGGTGACCCTTTTTCTCTGTGATTTCCTATTGAATCCGTTACTGTTTTCAAATCTTCGCCTTCTTGAACGTAGCTCAAAGGCACATACACAAGCAAAGGAGAGAACGACATCCGTATATAAAAGAGACAGGCTGACAGACAGACATACAGAGAGACAGAGACACTGGCACGACTTCAAAGATAGGAGAGAGAGAGAGAGAGAGAGAGAGAGAGAGAGAGAGAGAGAGAGAGAGAGAGAGAGAGAGAGAGAGAGAGAGATTCAACTTGTGAAATGGCGGACATCCGAGCAGAGGACAGCGCTAGGACGGATGGAGGACAAAGAGAGAGTATTCCGATAGGTATTGACTTAGGAACCTCTTTCTGTTGCGTAGGAGCAATGGCCAATGGCAAAGTAGAGATCATACCGAACCTTGAGGGAAAGCGGATTACTCCGTCCTACGTGGGGTTCTCTAAGGAGGACAGGTGGGTAGGAGAGGCAGCGAAGGCGCAGTATGTGAAGAGTCCAAAAAACACGTTTTTCGAAGTGAAGCGGTTGATCGGTCGAAAGTTCATTGACACAGAGGTTACGAGGGACGCTAAGCGGTGGCAATTTGAACTCAGAGAGGGTCAAAAGGGAGGGGTAGTATTATGGGCGGACAGTGTGCAAAAGGAGTTCACCCCAGAGGAGATCTCTGCGCACTTGTTGGTGCACATGAAAGAGATCGCCGAGAAGTTTTTCACTACCGGAGATGGAGCGCCCATCATTAAGGACGCTGTGATTACGGTGCCGGCCTACTTCAACGACGCGCAGAGGCAGGCAACGAAGGACGCGGCGACGATCGCCGGGTTAAATGTGCTGGAGCTGATGAACGAGCCAACGGCCGCCGCTCTCGTGTTTGCACACGAAAAGGTGTTCAGGGCGGGAAAGAGGACAGTTTTGGTTTTCGATTTGGGCGGCGGGACATTTGACGTCTCGATAATGACGGTGGACGAATTTGCTTTCGTCGGAGTAGCGTTGGCGGGAGATGCTCATTTGGGCGGGGCGGATTTCGACGGCAGACTGATCGACTACGTGAGCAGTGAATTCGAGCGGAAGGTGCCGGGATCGAACCCGCGTGCGACCGTCAAACTGCGTCGCAAAATCCGAGAAGCTTGCATTCAAGCGAAGATCGACCTCTCCCAGATGCATGCGACCAATATCATGATCGAAAATGGCGACGACGATTTCGAGTTGAAGATAACGCGCGCCAAGTTTGAGGAGCTGAACATGGATCTCTTCCAGAAGTGCATCGATTGCGTGGAGAGGGCGCTGATCGATGCTCAGCTGACGAAGGAACAAGTCACAGACGTTGTGCTGGTCGGCGGTTCGTCCAGGATTCCCTACGTGCAAGATCTTCTGGAGAGGCTCATGGGGCTGAAACCCTTGATGTGTGTACACGCCGACGAGGCCGTCGCGCGTGGCGCCACCATCCAGGCTTCGTTTCGAATTGCAAAATTTACCCAGGCGGAGCGCCCCAAGGCCCCTGTCGCCCCCCCCCCTCAACTCACCGATGTCGTGCCTTTCAGCATAGGATTAGATCTGAACAACGGCAAGATGCGCGTCCTCATTCCCAAGAACACCAAGAGGCCTGCGGAGGGGAAATGTACGCTTATTACCAGTCGGGACAACCAGACGAGCATGCTCTTCCCTGTCTATCAGGGGGAGAACGAGTTCGCCGTGGATAACGTGTACCTGGGCTCGTTCACCCTCGCCGGGTTTGAACCGGCGCCGAGGGGGAAAGCGAGTGCGGAGGTGACGTTTAGTGTGGATGAGAACGGGATCCTGAGCGCGACGGCGGAGGCTAAGACGGGTAATGTGCCGGGCAGAACCGCGTCGGTCAAAATCACTGCGGATAAGGGCAGGCTGTCAGACGAGCAGATGGCGGGAATAGTCCACTCAGTGGAAGAGTACAACAGAAGAGATCGTGCCAACCAAGCACGAGCTCAGGAAGAGTACGAGAGAGACCGGACACGTGTACGGCACGGTAGCTCTCTCGTTGTCCGTTGACCAATTTGAAAGCAGAACTTTTAGGGCGTACTCACTCACAGGTGTACTTTCGTAAATGTATCTGACTGCAAATGCGACCAGATATGGATGAATCTGACGGCAAAATGACGTCCAGCTTAGAAGAAAAAGCCCTCATGTGTGGTGAGGTTTTATGCTCTTAATCGCCGCTGTGTTTACAAGGTGAGGTACTTTCCTAAATGTATCTGACTGCAAATGCGACCAGAT